ATTATATTTAAATATATAAATTATATTTAAAATTTATATAAATATATTTTTTTAAACATATAAATTATATTTTAAATTATGATAAATAATTTATATTGTGACATAATATTATTTTTAATTATTAATAATTTATTTTAAATATTAAAATTTTAAATTTATAAATAAATATGATAAATAAAAATAAAAATTAATAAGAAATTAAAAGAATTCTTTAAAATCTTTTTAGCGAAGAAAGCGTCTAAAAAAACTCTCATTAAAAAGAATTCTTAAAATAGTCCTTATTTGATATATATGGATGAATTCTTCTAAACAAACACTTTATTTTTTTTTAACAAAAAATACTCTCATTTAACACAATTATTCTAATTTTGTGTATATAGGAAGAATAAACTAAAAATATTATGAAAATAGTATATATATATTTTTTAAAATAACATCGTAAAATAATTAAATTATTTATCATTTATCATTTCAAATTACAGTAACATTTAAACTTAAGTGTAATATTAAATATAAAAAATATGTTTAATCATTTTAACATCTGATGTTAATAAGGACAGTTATTTAAAATTTTATATTATTTACAATAATTAAATTTATACATATTATACTATACTATTATTTTCTTTAAAGTGTATAATTTTTCTAAAACTTAAAAATCTTTCATCTTAAAATTTAATTTAATTTTATGTTATGTTAAAGTTGATATACTTGCGACATATAACATCATTAAAAATCTTTAATGGACACATAATATTTTAACAAAAATATTATTCTTTTAATTATTTATAACTGATATAACCAACGTTGCATGATTTTGTTAAGAAAAAAAAACACAAACATTTTTTTTAGTACCAAGTTTTTTTTTATTCATAAAAAACTCGTACATTAAAAACTTAATTATTTGTACATTTTTTCTCAAATTATGGATATAATACTAAACACTTATAACAATTCATTTTACACAAGTGCTAATGAAATATATATTATCTATTAAGTGTTAAAATAATAATTTGTTTTAAATACAATTTTATTGCAATAATTTATATCTAAATTAATTAGTTTTATATTATAAAATTATAATAAAAAAATGTTTATAAATTCTAAATATTATAAAGTCAATAAAAATTATTTTAAATTACAAGATAAATTTAAAATTATTAAATTACATTATCATTTCACAAGCCAAAATTACAAAAACATTTAAATCTAACATGATTTAAATTTTCTAAGCATAAGTTCCAGATAAAATTTTACAATTATTTTAAATAAAATACAAATATTTGTGAGTTTATTACTAAATGTATGTCCAGTGTACTATTAGGACGGGCGTATACACGAGCAAAATGCTAGTAATAAAAAAAAATGAAAAACGTTGAGAATGTTTCAGCTCTGTTATTGAACTCATGCGAGTAATTTCAGAATAATTCGACAACATTGCTTGCACAAGATCTGCTAGTTTAACCTTTTTTTCTAAATAACTGAAATCATTAGAATATAATCTATGAGGTCATTTGTTTGACACATGTTGACTCACAATTTGGCCACTTGATTGAGGAAGGTTGGGTCCACGGAGACAACAACCTAGAGAAATTACATCATTAGATTATTACAGAATAATAAAAAAATCAAAATAACAATGTATCTGTAAAGTAAATACCTTCCCAACACTTTTCCCTGAATGGAGATACTCAACAGCGTCTGCAACAGAATTCAGGCCTATAAATCTCTTTGGATCAACAGCAACCTGTATGAAGAAACCATAAAAGTAAAGGAA